GGTTAGGGCTTCCTCTGCTGCCCCCTGGTGGATGGGCTCTTCATTTGAGTCTGGTTCCTCCGCAGGTTAGTTCCTTCTACGTTTTTCTTGTCACTGTCACCTCTAGCTTGCTCACTGGGGGCTTTGGGCAGGGATAATGTAATGCACTTTGAGACAATGTAATGTTGTGAAAATGCGCTGCACAAATAAAATTGAAATAGAATTGAATTGAATTTACATTTGTGATCTGATTGCCCAAGACACATTTTAAAACCAAGTGTAAAGATTCAAGATTCATTCAGAATCTTTATTAATAAAAGATTAAAAGAACTTTATTAATCCCAAAGGGAAATTGCTTTGTCTTGGTTATACAGTTGCTCTGATTAACAGGGCCTGTGACACAATTTAATGTTTGATATCTTACTTTATTTGAACATAATATGGTCAAAGTACAGCAATGACAGTAGCAGTTTTGCTTTTGTTTAACATGAAGCAAATAATCCATTTGTGTTTCACATTTGCCATGGATTTGTAATTAACTGAAACCTGTTTGAAGCATTACACTGCAGCTAACTATAAACACATTATAGATATGAATGTATCATTTACTTGAAGTAGACAATGAATTATTATACATTTTTATTATACATTTTGACACAGTATAACCACAGTCTTCATGTCTTTTGATAACAACAAAACAAAGCATTTATAATGTTTTATAATGTTTTATGTAGAATTGGTAGAATGATTAGGAGCAGGTGCGATGAGGGAGCTTACGAAGTGTTATAATAAACACTGTAATGCCTTATGACTATTAATGGAAGATGCCTTAATGCTTTATTAATTCTTATTGTGACTGTAATAATGCATTATAGATGCTCTGTTGTCATGCCCTGCTCGTGCTGATCCTCCTGTGTGCCACACTGCCCTCGTTACCTCGTGTGGAATGCCCATGCCATCAGCTGTTTCCTGCTGCGTTTCATTAGCTCTGTGTATTTAAGTCCGTGTTAGAGTATGTTTCCCCAGTCCGCTCATTGACGTCACTCCTGCGTGTTGCTCCGATTTCCCCTTGACTCTTGGTTGTGTAACATTCCACTCTGGTGCCTCCATGTAAGTGTGAAATAAAAAATGGTTAAAAAAATGGATTATAAATGACGGCATGACTGTGGTCTGGAGAGACCCCAGTGCCACTGATAATCGAGGCAGATCTTACAAAGGAGATCTGAGTAACTTAACGCAATGAACACAGAAACAGGAGCCCTATACAACCATCTCGATATCTGACTAAAAGGTTCTGTCGGCTGTGGGTGAGGCTGGGTGACACAGAAGGAGTGACCCTCGATCAGAAGTTTGAAAGGTACCTCGAGGGGCCGTGACTCTCTATGAGGTGGAAACAGGGAATGCCCTGGGAATGCCCTGGGAATGCCCTGGGAATGCCCTGGGAATGCCCTGGGAATGCCCTCAGTGCAGGGACAGGTACAGCAGCATTCCTCGGGGCTTTATGTGACGTATGCATTCATACACATGTTACGCTGTCATGGTTACATTCATACATACCTTATGCTGTCACATTCACATTCCTACACAGGTTACACTGTGACATAAGTATAAATATAATTAAATATATGGAAGATGGATGGATGGATGGATGGAATAGTATAGGCTGCTATGGTCCTGGCGCCCCGTGACAATATCCTGGGTGAATAGTTTTTGTTTTTGGCTATGCTAACGTTAGCTTTGCTGCAGTATAACCAGCTAAGAAGCGGATCAGTATGAAGCAGAGAGTGAAGTTCCTTCCCTGCTAGATATTCTATAGTCAGCTGTATTATTGCAAAGTGGAAGCATTTAGCTTAACCTATAGCCCCAGTGGCCTAATGGATAAGGCACTGGCCTCCTAAGCCAGGGATTGTGGGTTCAAGTCCCATCTGGGGTGACAAATTTCATGAGCCCTTCAGCAAGGCCTGTAACCACCTGAAATGCTCCAGGACTCATGGATGGATGGATGACTGACCCTGTGCCTGGACCCCAAACTTCACTCTTACCTGTACATACACTAGATGGACAGAAGTATTGAGACACACTTCTCAATCATTGAATGTGTTTCATTCAGACCCAGTGCCACAGGTGTATAAAATCAAGCACCAAGCCATGCAGTTTATAAACATTTGTGAAAGAACAGGTTGTTCTGAAGAGCTCATTGGATTCAAGATTGGTACTGTCACTGGATGTCACCTTTTCTGTGTGTGTGTATGTAGCCTAAAGATGACGACCTTCTTGAATATCTCTGAAGTGGGGGGGGGGGGGCCTGTGTGTGACTCCCCCCAGGATTCCATCCTGTCACCAAAATTGGTCGCGATTTGCGTGAGCTCAACAGGCTGTTTTGTCTGTGTTTCATGTGTTTGCCAGCAGAGGGAGCTCTGAGCTCATGAACACCCACAGCCGATTACATGAGTAATTTAGGGACACCTGTTCACTAGCATGTATGACATGAATATGTAATTCTTTCTTTGCTTTTAGCAGGCCCCAGTCTGGGGTGTTATTTACACTGTAAACGTTTGTGATGCTTTAGAGTCCTGTGGACCTGAATGGCTTCTCACTCCTTTTTAAATTGGACCTTACAGCTTTTTCATTTGGTCTTAATCTAGGGAATGATCCAGTGACCACTGCCACCCAGTGGTGGCTCAGGACCACTGCAACAATGTCCACTGAAAATGGAGAGACTTTGAGAGAGACACTTTTGGATGTTTCAAGTGTCATGCCATAATCTCATCAAAGCTGGTTCTGTATTTGATGCTTTCTTGTAGTGTGGTTCAGGATGAGGTGCAGACCGGTCAGACTCTAAGAGAGGCACAGACCGGTCAGACTGTGAGGGAGGCGCAGACCGGTCAGACTGTGAGGGAGGCACAGACCGGTCAAACTCTGAGGGAGGCGCAGACCGGTCAGACTCTGAGGGAGGGGCAGACCAGTCAGACTGTGAGGGAGGTGCAGACCGGTCAGACTGTGAGAGAGGCTCATACCGGTCAGACTGTAAGGGAGGCGCAGACCAGTCAGAGTGTGAGAGAGGCTCATACCGGTCAGACTGTGAGAGAAGTGCAGACCGGTCAGACTGTGAGGGAGGCACAGACCGGTCAGACTGTGAGGGAGGCGCAGACCGGTCAGACTCTAAGAGAGGCGCAGACCGGTCAGACTCTGAGGGAGGCGCAAACCGGTCAGACTGTGAGGGAGGTGCAGACCGGTCAGACTGTGAGAGAGACTCATACCGGTCAGTCTGTGAGGGAGGCGCAGACCGGTCAGACTCTGCTCGACAGTATATCAGACACAGAGCTGTACAGCCAGTGTGCTCACCGATGGAAGCTGTCCTCGTGTTTTGTCTGTCACCCTCTGTGAAAAGCTTTAGTTCTGTAAGGTTTATCATGGATCTCCACCCGTCACATTTGGATTTGATCTTCATCCATGAGACTGTGATTTTGCAGTGAGACGCAGCCTTTGAAGCCTCCTCAGGCCGCTAGTAGTAAAAATCGGGGTGGGGGTGGGGGGGTCCCTGGTCCGTCCCCCCCCCCTCCGTAGAAGCTCCCTGCTGTTTCCAAAATATTACTTAATGTAGAAAAAATTAATAAATAACTAAACAATCAAACAATAGAGCTTTATAATAATGGTACAGTTTCTCCAGCGTCTCATCATTAACAGGCAGAGTAGCACCCGGCTGCCTGACCCGCCCTCTTCTCGGACCACACAGAATCCTGGAGGGGGGACACTTCAAGGTTGGCCAATGCAGCTCCTCTCAGGCTCCTCTCAGGTACACAGCAGACCTGTACGCAAGCTGCTGAGGGAGTGACACCCCGTTCCCCATAGCAGGACGGCAGGTCATCTCCTTGTCACGTTTCTCCCCCGCCCCCCAACACATGTGTCTCCACTCTGCCCACAAACTGTGCAAAGTGCACCATTCACCACCAGAGGTCGCCCAGGCCTATAACCCAGCTACCTAGGTTCTCAGACCAGACGAGGGGAGTGGTGCCCACAGAACGGGCCGGAAATACTGCATCTCTCCCGACTA